CAATCAGAGGCTGCTAGAAGCCAGCACTCAATTTAAAAAGAAGCAAGGAAAAGGTACAATTGACATTTGGTGGCTGTTCGATGATGGAGGTAAGGAATTTGAGTAAGAATCACAGGGAGAGAGAGTTCTCTGTTACCAAATATAAAAACAGACTTGAAGTTGCATAAAACTGATTTTATTAAGTTTACATAATCAACTTTATGTCAGCCTTAAATATTTTAAAATTAACTTGCATCCAATACTGCTGAAGTGAAAGATGGAATTTTTACCATACAATGCCTTCATTTGATATTCTTCCAATTTTCTGTGTTCTTCCAGGTCTAACAATCCTAATTCCTTACATTCTAACTATCAGGAAGAAGTGGAAGAATTGTAAATTAAGGATCTTCACTGGAGGAAAAGTCAATAGGATTGAAGAAGAAAAACTAGTGTAAATATAACTTTATTTGTCTCATTTGTTTAAAAAATTAGAATTGATGCTGAATATAGTGCATATACAGCAGGAAATTGGGAAATTTTCAGCACAACTGGTTTGTGGTACTGTGGGCAGCATGAAAAAAAAACATACTTGATTGAAAGGTGTTAAGCTTATGGCATAGCCCTTAAGGTTCTGCAAATGGTAATTACCAAAGGAAACTCACATCCAGCACTTTTTCCCATTAATAGCTCATATTCCCTTCTCTGAGAAGAGCAGTCTGCACTCTGTAATGAGAATATAATTACTTTTATGGGATTTACATGAGATAGTCCAGGTAACAGGAAGTGAAATTGCACATGAAGCTCTCCCATGCAAATAGCATGGACAGATAACTCACATAAATGTGATTAACTGTGGTAAAATATAAAGAAGTTAAAGTGCAAGTTAATCAACTTAAGGTCAAGTTGATTTTACTCTGTGTTTTAAAGTCTAGATTTCATAATCATCATTTATCTTTGAGCAAATGAAAGGTACTAATATAAATTTATTTTTATCACCACTGGAGGTAGGACCTTTCCTTCCTAAGCACTTTACACATTACAGGCACAGCCATTTCAGCACCAGTGGAAGCAGCTCAGTTTGGGATGAAAGTTAGTGACTGCTTAACAAAGAGCAGAAGCACCATGTAGAAAATTAAAAACATCTCCAGCCAAAACTCCAGGGGCAAACAAGTGAGAGAGGTGCAAAGACAGGGGTTAGAATCACCAGCTTAACTAGGATTACAACACAGTGCCTTGGAAAGGCAGCTGCCACAGGATACCCCCTTAAAGAAAAGGGAATGCATAGAGCAAACTTCACTGTGGTTCCATCCATTTTAAACATTACCCTAAAGTTCATGTACCTCTGCAGAAGAGATTCACAAGTGTTTGTACAACTATCCTTATAATTAGGTTAAAAAAGCCCTAGAGCTGCTCAAGGACCTGCTGGGAAGTGTTCTCTGTCCCCTGTCCAGAGTCTGCCCAGTTTTGGCTGCTCAGGATTGCAAACAGGCTCCTGAACCTGAACTCTCTAGTCACCTGATTTTGCTGCAAGAAGGAAGTTTTGAAAATGGGATTTGTCAAAACATGACAGTTTCCACGGAGGCAGTTCTGACACCTGCCCACACTGCTTGTCCCCCACAGGCCCAAGTAAACAGCATGGTCAGGACAGCTGAGAAGGACACAGCTTGTCCCCAAGAAAGCTTTATGTGTCTGTATTGCTACCTAAACACCAGCCTTCCTCAAAACGTGGCCTACATGTAAAAGCCTTCAAAGAGACAAATCTGGGCTGGGTGATTCCTCCATTCCCTAGGCAGATCCAATACAAAATCATCCAAGTACAATTTCAGCCATGTATTTTGAATTCAGAAGTCAAATTTAACTGGATTTTTACTAGCATGTAATTCCCCAAATATTAAAACCTTTTCACAGAAGTTGAGATTTTACTCTTTATCATGTTCAAAACAGGCATTGCCACCAGGGACATCAAGATTTATAAAAGCTGTATGTTCTTTTTATATAAATACATTAAAAAGAAAGAGTAAACTCTCAGGTCATAAACAAATATGTGTTTGTACTGTGGTTTGCTCTGAGGAACTCTCTGACCTTTTCAAAATCCAAAGCTTACATACCAAAAATAGAAACAAAAAAAAGAAAAAAGGAGGTGGGAGAAGGAGGTGTGCATAAGAACCACAAGATCCCAACCATGGGTTTAAACAAAGGCAAAAGTGACCTAGTTAAACCTCTCTATCCTCAGCACAAACACACAAAAAAGTATAAACTATTCCTTCTGCCAAATGGGGCAGAAAAGCAAATTATTTTTTAATGAACATGTGTAAAGACAACATGTGAGTGGATCAATACAAATTCATAAATGAAAAAGATGAAGATTCTTTAAGTATTGGACTTTCTGGACCAAATTTTCACCAACACATGCACTACCAGTATTGTAAAACTCCATCCACAACATTCTGACAGTAACAGAGTAACAGAAGACTTCTGTAAATCTTAGAGAATTCTGACCTACTGTATATTGACCATTCTTCCTTTATAACTCAAGCCTTTGGGAATACTTTGAGTATCATTGTTTTCCCAAAATGTAAACATCCTCTGTCTGCTATTAATTTCTTTCTATTTTGTGATTTTTCATCAATCATCAGTTAAATGAATTATGCTACAGCAATCACATTAATCCAGTTCTGTAACTGGAAATTGAAACACTAAAACATTTAAAGTAATTTGTCATATAGTTAGACAAGATATAAAATGCAGCTGTCTAACTCATTTACAAGTGTTCTTTGATATAAGGCACTCCAAAGTACAGTGATAAAACATTCTCTCTTTTGTTTTCAGGATGGCTTCACTCCTAAGCAAATTCAGAATAAAATTTGCTGATATTAATATCATTTGTGATATCAATATAAAGCCCAACAAAGAGAGGTAAGAAGCATTACCAAAATCCACTATTTAGTAGCTAGCCTTTATCTAGAGCTTATTTCTTTCATGTAGAAAATTAAAAGAAAAAAAAAAAACAACAAAGCACAATACAGAAAATAACACTGACACTTCATTGTTATAATTTTCTAAGTACCAACAGCAGGAAAAAGAAAAGAACCTTTTAACAAGCACAGCTTAAAGGGTCAAAACCATGTGTAGTCTTTTTCTTTATGTTGTAAAGACTAATTAGACACCATACTTATAAGCCACTAAATTTAACAGACATTTTGTGATGACTTCTCGTATTTATTTAGGCTGCAATAGACTCCAGTCAGTCACAATTCTCCTGTAAATTTGCCATAACTGTCAACTCAGCCTTCTGGGTTTTACAATAACTTCACAACATTTTTCTGGTCAAACACAAGCATACTTCCTCTCTCCCATGAGGTCAATACTATAATGTTCCCCTATCATTCAGATATAATGAAGGCTTAATAGTTTTAAAAATTAACTTATCTACATAATTAATGCTCTTAAGCAGAGGTTAGGAAGTTGGTAAAACAATGCTCAAAAAGCTCCACCTCCAACTGTATTAGTTAAATTTAAAAAACAAACCAAATATTAAAGTCCTTGTTTTTGAAAACATATCTCCATAGATATTGTCTATTTGTTCTGCTTATGTAGAAAAAAGTATACAGCAGGCTGTTCAGGTGATAACTGAATCCGAAATTCAATTCACAGTATTGCTTAATCTTAAAATTCCATAAATGTGCCCACCTTACCATACTCTCTGCCATCCCATCCCTTACTCCAACCAAAGCCTTCCCGCTGGGTTCAAGTGCAATCCCAGATTAGGCTCTTCATCATTCTCTGTCCTGTTTCTACACACACACAGAACTTTGCAAAAACAATACAGGGTTCACCAGAGTTTCTATGGACCACTGGAGATTTGGACTGAAGAAATGCAGATAAAGAATATAAAGGTTTTCTAACTAGATACCTAAAGTCTCCTTTTAAGTGTCCTCTTGATCTCTCAGGTAAAACCTTTTAATCATATAAAGAACTGTACAATACATAGCTTGTTTTTCCTCTAGTACAATGCAGCGATTTTACATAAGGTATCAAAAAGAATTAATATCTGGCATCAACATAAAAAACCACACACGTTTGCTGCATCAGCACTATCTGAACTGAACAAATCAGTTTTATGCCAGACACTTCCTAGACAGACCCACTGGATCTCTCTTCCAGCTGGCACCCCATCTATTTCACTAATAATAAGAGGATTATCACTATTTTACATACTGAAAGAGACAATAAGGATGTTGACAAACTCTGACAATTTAGCAACAGCAACTCTAAGTGCTGCATGTCACAGCCTTTAACCCATCTTTTGGCTTCCTGGCCATACAGCCAAGGCTAGCCTGTGCCCAGTCTGCCACAACAAGGCCCATCAGCACCAAGTCCTCAGGGAAATACACTCACATCCACACAAAAGAAACTCCCCGAGGTCTCTGTGGCATACTAGAAATTTTCAACAATGGGCAAGCAAGGAAGTACTGAAGGACAATAAGGTTCTCCAGATGAAAACTTTCAAAAGTTCAAGAAACAACTTGAAATTTAGAGAAAATCTGAATGCAATTCTGAGTACACATATAGCAAAAAAAAAACCCTACAATGTTTCCTTCTGCCCCTTGTCACAGGAATTTGTATCACCTGTTTATCCATTGCATTAAAACCATCAGTAAAACCATTTCAGTGACATGATTGGTCCAGTTAGTGCTAAAACAATAAACAAGGAGACCCATATTCATTGTTAATATTAGTAACCAATATACTGCAGTTTGCAGTTACTGTAAAACCCATTTCAGTATTTTTGCTAGAACCAGAATAACACAGAAAATTCTCTGCTAAATGCAGTGTTTAATTATCCTCATATAACCTTTTAATTCTTCTCAAATAACCCAAACATACAGAAGTGGCACAGATATAACTTGGGGCACAATATAGCAAAGAATAGTTAAAGATTTTGCATGTTTTCAGCTATAATTATTATCAGTGAGGCCCGTCATACACAGTGACTGTGAAATAAGTTAGTGAGTTCATACCCTGCAGCAAGGCCTCCTTTGTAATTCCTGTTTCAGCTGGAAATTCTTTGAAGAGATGATTGAACCATATCGCCTCCACGAAAGCTGCAAAGATATCACAACTGCTGAGAAATTAAAGCGAGAGGCTCCATGGAAAATTACAGATGCAGAGCTGGAAGCATTCAAGGAGAAGGTAAAGCCTTGCCTACATACCTCTTTACATATGCCCCTTTTCTTACCCTCCAGATGTTTGAAGCGATTAGTAAGAAAAAGTGAAATACCAGATATGGCATTAGAAACATGATATGTACAAACCTGTATTTGATATTTACAGATTGGATTTATATTGTAAACACTGCAGAGGTGTGTTATAATTGCATTATTGAGCTCTCTCAGACCTTGGCATGCTTACACAGTATTTTCTAGGCTGATGAGAAGCTCTGCCCACATCAAAGCCAGCCAGATGAAAACCACCTCTGAACCAGAAGCCACAGTTACTGCACTGAGCCTGAGATAATTGAGTCTGCTGAGGTTTATTAAATGGCTCCACTGTTTTGGAGCTTGACTCAAAGGATGCAGTTCCAAACATTCACCTCTTTGGGCAATTTAGAACTGCATCCAGACACTTCAACTAAACTAGAAATTTCTCCAAAGGCAGGGTTGAGCATGAATTCTTACCTTATTGGCAGAGTGAAGACTAAACCACTCTACCATGCAGGAGCTCTCCTGCAGTTCAGAGGAACTTCAAGGCTGATGCTGGCTGATCCACTGGGTCAATTACAGCCCAGTCTGCTCTTTATATTTGTTGGAAAAATACATTTTTCCCAATGAACCACCAGCTTCATCAGGCCAGTGACAAAAGGATGCAAACTCTTTCACCCTTGAGACAAGTTCTCCTCTAACTCACAGAGAATTAATCTACAATTTTAGTTATGGTTCCTGTGGAATTACCCTGAGTACACTGAGAGTTTAATTATCTCCACTTTATGGTCCTGGTAACTTCCTCAACAGAGCAAGGATGAGCTCAGAGCTGCCAGAAGTCACAGCCTGACATATTAACATAAGCAGAAATCAATAATGATTTAAGATCACACAAGACCACTGACTGCAGCAGCTGGGAAGCAGACTGACTGCTCACTGTGCTACCCACATCATGGAGCTGATAATCAGCATAAGGTTATATAGTCAGCTATGGGCAGAAATCCTTAGAATTAGTTTCACTTTAAATTACCAAAAAGTGAGACTTGGAGCCCTTAAAACACATGCAGAACAAGTGAGGATACAACAGAATAAAAATGTGATTAAGCTTGGTCTGGTCTAGGTCACTAATTAAGGAACCGGAAAAATTCCTCAAGAGTTGAAGAGAAACAGCAATATGAAAATGCCAAATTACTCTGTAAAACAAGAACAACAAAAAGTTTAGCTTACACATCTGGAAAGACATGCCCCTTGCCTTCAGAAGTAGGGCAGTTCTGGGAATTTACAGAGGACATTAGAACACATTTACAATTCAACAGATAAAAACCTGGCAGCACAAGCAAAGGGTGATGTTATAGGATTATTCTCATGAGGTTACAGCTGGCTACATTATGAGGGTTCTTACCTATATAACAAGAACAGTGACACTTTCGTAAAGAAGGAAAATTTAAGATCTGAATGGAGAAAAATCTTTTTACTTTCTCCAGGAAAAGAGAAAATAATTTACAAAAATCAGTTAAGATACATCTAACATAAACCTGCCCTGGTCTCTTGTTCCCTGTGACTTGTGGTTAAGCCATAAAAATATCGAGGGCTTGAGCTCAATAATAAAGTAAGTTCAGTACAAAAATAATCCCTATCCCCAGGAAACCTTACATGGGGTGAACCATTAGAGAGGCCCTAATATAACTACACCAATCAAAAAGTGTGGCATAGCCCCATATTTTGCCATGGCTGAGACTCTGGACCTGGCTTCCAGTGCTGCCAAAGCAACAGCAGAAAATCTTGCAGGCAAGGAGGAATGTGGAAGTCCATAAGGCACCAGAGCTGAGGATCACTGACCTAACTGGTATTTTTCTTTTCCTGTTGTGTTTTAATCAGAGTTATCGCCAAGTCCGTCTGAATGAACTCTTACAAGAGCACTCGAGAGCAGCCAACCTCATTGTCCTGTGAGTTGCAAGATTTTTGATTCTAAGAATAATGTGTAATGGGATTCTGAACTGGAGCTACAGAAACCCTTGTGTTAATCCACTGAGCACAAAGTAATCTTTTAAGTACCTTCTGGAGGACTGATGCTTCTCTGTGACTGCACTGAGTATGAATCTTTCCTTGTGATGAAGCAATTGTATAAAGGAAAAGAGGCTACCAATAAAATTACCAAAAAAGGCCCTTTCCAGAATCTATTTTTATTTACAGACACATTTTTTATACACAGCTTCAATAAGTTAGCTTGCACTTGTGATGCACAGATAAACCTCTACAGTTCTATTAATTCAGTCTCAAAAACAGGGATGGTCATATAGTGCTTACCACAAATTGACCCAAATTTTAAAACTCCCATCTCACAGCATCTGCAGATCAGAAAAGAGGCTGATGGACAGCAAAATTGTTCATGTGTTGGCTTTTTATCCTTTTTAAACAATCATACTATGTGTGAGTTTTATGACCCCAAAAATATTCTTTACCAGTTTGAGGTAACAATCAAAAGCAGTTCATACCCAGTACAGTCAGGTGAGCAAGGGTTTGCAAATTAAGGCCTAATGATATGAAAACAATCTTGCAGAGTAATTATATCAGAGTTTTATATGAACAGTAATGTTTTCTGCTTAGTATTTAATGAGAAGCCTGGGCTACCCTGCCTTCATAATGATAATTATATTTTTCCCTCTGCCCAAACAGGAGCCTCCCTGTGGCAAGAAAAGGAGCAGTGTCTGATTACCTGTACATGGCTTGGCTAGAAATTCTCTCCAAGAACCTTCCTCCAGTCTTAATGGTCAGAGGCAACCACAAAAATGTACTGACTTTCTATTCTTAGAAAAACATCAGTGCCTGGAACATGCCTTGCTTGGTTCCAATAGCTATGTTTTTAATGGCAATGGTTCATCAAAGACACACTCATTTAATGCCAATCTAAATTTTTAATAATTGACAGATTTTTTTCAAAAATCCAAAGCAAAGAATTAGAAAAAAAAATGTAAATGGTCCCTTCCGGTGTTTAACTCCAGTATAGGCAAAAGAAGGAAAATCTACTCATATGTCATATGAGACAGCAAATATTTTGAGCACACAAAGAAAAAATTCTTCTGATTTATAAAGTATTAAAAGGTTTTTGATATTTATCCTAGAAAGCAAAAATTTACTGTGATAAAGCAGAAAGGATTAAATCTCTAAATATTTTTTTTCAAACTGCACTAGCATAGTTGCTAATGGGCACACAGTAGGATTAAAATGAAATGCACCAACTTGTGAGACAAAAACCTGTATGGCATCCATCAGGTGTAACTCATGAATTAACTAAATGCAAGTAGAATACATGCAATGATTTTTTATTGTAATATTACCAAATTAAGACCTATGCCTACAGCAGATGCTTTTACCTAAAATGTTCTGCTAATTTAAATTAATTCAAACACTTCTAATTTATTCACAAAAAAATTAGATATATAAAAAGATGGACTTTATTACAAGACTTGATAATGCATTTTCAAGCTCTGACATGCAATGGAATGCGTGATTTAAATAATTAAATGTTGTAAGTAAATTTCACAAAAAAATTAGTAAAACACTAAATATTCTGACAATTTTTGCTATGAATGTTATGGTTAATACAATCTGACATTATACATTGGGAAAATAAGTACAGTGATTTATGTGATTAGAAAACAAAAACTCATTAGCTGAGTTGAATGCCTTACTTTTGATTTATAGAAAAGATTTCTCTCTTTTTTGACTTCCTAAATAATATTAATTATACACTAACTTAAAATAAAGGCAATTCATTAAGTTGTGTAATTTTTCTATTTTCTACTCTGCAATGTTATGGTACTTTATAATTTCAGCTGTCAAGAAAAACAGCTTCTCTTTTTAATGGGTAAAGCTATATCCTATGTGTAAGCACTATTTAAATTAAAGACCATCAAGTAACATTTATTTATTTTCTGTAGTCCTGCAACTCCTTTGCAGAGATCAACCAACATGAAAGCCTCATGAAAGCCAGGGAACCCTGAATTTCACCAAATGTATATTTTAAAGCAAGTCTCAGCTTCCATCTTGATTGAATTATTAGAATTTAACTTGTAGTGGGTTTAGCACTTTGTCTCCAAAAATGACAAATATTTAATATTCATATTTCTTCTGAGTTCAACGGTAGCAATTCAGCAGAACATGGTAATGTAGCCCAGTAATCCATGCTTCATTTTCTCTATTAAAGGCAGGATATTAAATATTGATATTTTCTCATCATATTCTTCCTTTGCTTCTGACACATTTACAACCAGGTTGAAGGATCATTTTACAATCTAACTGCATTACACAGAAGTTTCCTCCATCTACCAAACTTCCTGCACAACTCTGAGCAAACCAAAGCTCACATTCTGCACCTGCAAAACAAGATTATTTTTATCCTTCACAGTGATGTCAGCAGTGATACAGGAGCTTGCTGCATGCTGCCAGGTCCTTGCAGCTCCTTGTAGAATTGTAATGGACACCATGCTCTCTGCCTCATACAGATACAACCTCAGTGGCACCCAGCCAAAGCCAAGCTTTTAGGGAGGCTCCACTTAGGCTTTGTGGGCTTCTTATCACAACCTACACAAGGACCTGGAGGAATTCTACACCTCTGTTAAGCCCTTTAACTATGCATATGACTGGGGATTGTTTCTATTTTAATCATCAAGTTAGTAACTAAATTAATTACATGTCTAACATCCCTCGGAAAAAATACAGCTCTAATGCTGTCTAGCACATTTTTAGATTATATCAACTACCAGTTCTACAAGTTTATATAGTTTAGGTTGGATTAGGTCAGTCACAACAAAAGCAAGCATGGGTAAAGTGACCAGGGACATTTAAGTGTGAAAATACCATTGCTATGAAGCGAAGACAAAGAATATGTTGAATTTTGTTCAAAAGCCTAGGCATCCCGCACAGCTAAGTTTGTGCCTAAGGGCTGTTAAAATGATCTACTACTGTTCCTCTCATCAGTGAATCTTACCTTTCTCTCCTAATGTTAGTGGAGCTCCAACAGGTATTACAGAAGGCATTTCATCATAGTTGAGAGACTACACTTTCCTTACATCTTTTTAAAATCACTGGCAAGTTGCCCATCTCGATCACATACCCCTAAAGCACAGTCCAAATTATGCTGTCCAGAACAGTATTCTTCCAATGTGTTTTTCACTAGATCACAACAGAGATTCTTTCTGAGGGGATTGTTTCTTTATTTTATTTTTAAATCAGCTACCCAACAATGCAAGTAGAAGAGCTACCTAACCAAGAATGCATTGCATTGTGAGGATTAACAACTGTAACTACACTGCAAAAACAAGTTGTTATCCTACTTCACACTCGAAGGAGTTTCCACTCAATCTTCATCATCACAAAGTACAGAGCTCCAGCCACCAGCATAGGAAATTTCATCAGTCTTAAACCTCAGCAATTTTCATTACATCTTTGAAAAATCCTACCAAAAGCTTTCCTGACTAAGCAACACTAATCCTCAAAAAACCTAGACCTATCATTTTTTCTCTCTTCTTCTCTAATTCCATATGGGATTTCAAGATCTTTTCAGCAAAAGCAGTTTCAGCACCTGATCATTAGTTTACAAACCAGAGACATCAACAGGTAAAGGAATCTGCACTGCAGTTGTACATATGGGGCAAACAGCTACAAGCAGTCTTGGCTACTACTGACTCACTTAACTCCCCTCAGCTGTTTGTCTCCTCTCCTCAGGCAGAGGTCCCTTACCTGTCGGCAAAGCTGGGGGAACAGAATGTGAGTAACCATCAGTATTTTCAGCCTGAATTTCAGGGGTCTCCCTCAAACTTCTTCCTCTGGTGGTTTGGTGCTATTGGACTTCAAGGAAGTGAGTGTGGATGACTCCAAGATCCTGCTCTGTCTCCCTTGTTACCTCTACAATTCTTGGCAGCAGAACAAAAACCTTCAGTGCTGCAGCTCTTTGCTAAATGAGTGACTCAGTACAGATGAGGAAAGTCAAGGTTTTGCAAGTGTTGTGCTTCAGCAGAGGTCAGGCCACTGTTGAAAAATCTGTCCATGCTGGTACCTAGGGCACAGCCCCCTGGCAGCTGTGTGGGCTATCGAGACCCTGTGGCCATCACTGCTGAGGGAGCACCTCACACTGGCCTTGGCTCTGCAAGGAGAAATGGAAACAAAAAAATACAGCAAGTTGCAGCTCATATTCTCCACAAACAAGTGCAATATCCCACAGTCATGCCATTGGCTGGAACTTCATCAGAGGAAATTAAGTTTCAAACAAAATCAAACACACTAAGGTTGTCTGGAACAGAGTAAAAAGCAATGGCAAAATTCCACAACCCCCATGCTGTGCTGCAAACATGCAATCAAAAATAGAGTTTCATTATAAACAGACAACATCATAACAGCATTTTTAAATTACAAACCTTAATCACTGTGAAAGAGACAGCTGTGCTAAGTAAGAATGGGGTGGGAAGTCGCTGTTTTAAAGCCAGTTTTCTTCTAACAAAAATCCTCATTTTAACACAAAACTTCAATGGGGAGAATTGTGTGACTATTACCCTGAAAGAGGCTCTGTTTCTTCCTGTGTCCAACAAAGCAGCCTCCACTCCTGCTCTCAGTCCAGGCAAAAAGGCAGATGATTTCAGTTTATCTCAGTATTGTTTTTCAAAGTCAGGAGGAAATGCCTGATGGAGAGCAGTACTAATCAGCAATCAGGAATGCTGGAAGGTTTACTGACTCTATGGAGCAAGCAACACGTTCCCAGAACCAAGGTAAATTTGGTTTTAGACTTCCAGCATAAGGCTGGGGGCATTCCCCTTGTAAAGATCTGGAATGAAACAAGTGTCACTCAGCTGAGTCCCTTCTCCTTAATATTTTTGGATGAGTCCTCCTCTCTATTATTCATGGGCTTCCAGGCTAGCTCAAGCAGACTTTAGAACCCAGCCTGCCTCACCAAGTTTGGCCAGTCTGGTCCCTTTCTATGCTATAATGAAGGATGCAGTTGTAAACTCCATGAAGTCCTGCTTGTATAAATAAACATTTATAATAGTTTGATACAACTTCAATTCCTATTAACTTCAATTTTTGGATAGCTTACATCAGAAGCCATAAAATATTTTCAGTAGTTTTTTCACATGTCTGTGTTACATATATATTCTCCTTCAAACAGTTCATATTTAGACTGAAAATACTGAACAAGAATAAAAGAAACATTCATAAAAATACCTTTCACAACTGAACTGCAATGTGTAGTAAAGGTTTCACTGCCATCTGGCTGCATTTAGAAAATGTAACATAGCAAGGAGACAATCCCACACATTTGAGAGTTTAAAACAAAAAATCACAAAGACCAGTTGTTAGACAAAATCTAGACCAGCAAGAAATCTGTAGCTGTTATGCAGTCAAATAACTCCATTAGCCTCACCAGGAACAGTTCTGAAACTATGAATCCAATGGATACTTTTCAGCCCATAGCAGAGCCATGGGGAAAGTCAGGAAATTCCCTAGTCCTAGGGATATAGATATGTCCCGTAGAATATATCTATATATAGATAGATATGTAGAAAGAAAGAGATAGATATAGGAAAAATAGCAGGGGAAATAAATTGAATGTCAAGATGGCAGAGCATATTAAACACAATGAAACAATCTTCTGCTTCAAGACAGAAGAACAGGGCAGGCCTAGCATTGGCAGGTTTTCCCATCCACCTCATCGTCAAGAAATGTCCTCCTCTCGTAAGGCAAACACTTCTGCCGTGGCCTGACCATTTCCGAAGGAGTCTCTTTCTGCCTCTACTCTGTGCAACGTGCTCTAAGAAGATCTGCTTTAACAGCAGGGCTAGACTGGATGTTCTCCAGAGGTCCCTCTCAGCCCCAAGCACCCAGTCACTGCGGAGGACAGCGGCTGTTTGCCACGCGGCTGTGCGGAGCGGGAACAAGAACAGCCCCGGGGCTATTCTGAGGACGCCGGGCGCGGCCCCGCCCGCCCGTGCGGCCGCAATCGCGTCCCCCGGCAACGCCGCGCAGCCCGCGCGGTCCGCCCGGAGCCTGCGGCAGCGCCGCCGCACCCGGAGCGCCGCGGGCCGGACTGCTCCCCGCGGGGCTGCGCGGCAGGTAGAGCCCGGGCACGGGGAGAACGGAGCGCCGGCTCCCCCGCCCGTGAGCCGTGAGCCGTGCGGACCGCGGCGGGGAGCCCGGGCTAGCGGTCCGTGGCGCGCTTCCCGCACGGCAGCGGCGGCGGCGCTATGTTGGCCCGGTGCCTCCGGTGGCTCCGGCACCCCTGCGGGCGCTGTAAGGAGGGGTGGGGGAGTTGCGGGGCAGCACACACTGCCCAACCCGCAGGTCTCGGGGACTCTGGGGGATACACGCTCCACAGCCGCACCGCGTGGCCTCTCGGCGCCCCTCAGGGGCCGCCCGGCAGTGACGCGGCGGCCGCGGCGCGGGGCGATGGGCGAGCCCCGCCTGACACACGGGGCGGGACCCTCGGTGCGGGCGCGGGGGGCCCAGGAGGAGCTGGGCGAGGCCATTCTCACCGAGGGGGGAATTGGGTTGCTCCGCGCGCGGAGAGGCCGCGGATGGGCCGGTTCCCCCCCCTTGCTCCCGCCCCCGTGGGCCGCGCCGGGTTTTGGCGGGTTTTCGGCGGGCGGGCGGCCGTCCCTCACAGCGTCTGTCCCGCTCCCTCAGCCATGCCCGCCTCCGAGGCCGTGCCGCAGCCGTCCCCCAGCAAGAGGCAGAAGGGCTCGGGGCCTGCAGAGGTCTCCGCACGGCTGCGCTTCACCAAGCTGTCCGAGAACGCCTTCGCCCCCTCCCGGGGCTCCGCCCGTGCTGCGGGCTACGATCTTTACAGGTGAGGGAGGGTGAGGGCACGGCACCCGCGGCGGGAGCCCGCGCTCGATGCCGCCCCGCTCGGCGAGCCCCGGGCACTCCAGGGGCTCCGGCGGCCGAGAGGGCCCTCGCGGCCTCTTGCCGAGCTGAGCCCCCGGGCAGTCTCGCTGGCCATGCAGGAGTGGAGGCCAGAGCTGATGTAGTCACAGCTTCCTCGCTGCTCCATCCCTGATCATTTCCTGGTATCTGTGGTCCAGCCATGTTATAGGATTGGTTTCATGAGGCACAGATGCCGCCGTTGGCTAAAAGTAAGGCTTGACAGAGCATCCAGAATTGCTGTTGGTGCCCACATTGGACAGGTTGCGTTCCTGTGAAAGGAAAAAGCGGTAGTGCATGTGGGCCCTCCTTGCCAGCACTTGTGCTTTTCTACTTTCCTCTTGGCTCCGGGGTTGCTGCCTGGCAAAGGGCCTTGCAGCAGTTTGTTAGCGCTCCTAGCTGGAAGCCACGTGAGTTGATGTACAGACTTAGGTTTTGGTTTGTTTGAATTAATAATGACCCTTGTTCCTTGGCTTTCATTATGTTCAGGAATACCTGTAGCTAGACTTGGGGCTGTTTGCATAGTGCTTCTGTAAGTCGCTAGTTTTGAACGAGTCAACTTTACTGCTGCCACTTCTAACTTGCCTTTTGTAGTATTATGTAAAATAACCAGCCTTTTTCTCTCTTCACCTCTCTGACTTCTTTCCTGAAGATTTACTGCACCACACCTTACCCTTTGTTCTTTTTGTCCCTTTCATCTCACCAGGTTTGTTTTTGTTCTTGTTCCAATGTTGCACTGTAGACCTGGAAAAACTGTGTTTTATAGAAAACCTTTCAGTGCTTCCCAGCATTTAAAAACCAGTTCTTTGTCAAGGTCAAGACATGACAAGTATTGTCACCACTGCTTTTCATTAGGCCTCCAGTTGGGTAGCTTCAGCAAGCTTTTAAAATCTCTGTAGTTCAGGGTTTCCAGGAGAATCATGTGAATCATGAACTGTCAGACTGCTCAGAAAAAAAAAATTGTTTCCTAAAAGTTAACTTAATAGATTATTAATTTTGACTACAACTAGTTTATCTGCTGTAGAAAGCTTAATCAGATTGTATTATTGATAAAGTTTTTGCTATTGCACAAAAAATGCACAACCACGTTCACCTAATGGTTACTTTAAACTTTTTTTTTTTATATATCTTACTAATTAAAAACCATTTGAAACTGGCAATTGCAGAAGTATGCTGTTCAAATGCCACTTCTGGAATCTTAAACTAGCACCATCAGAAAGGCAACATCTTGTGTTTTAGGATCTGTATTAAATTTCACAAATCTGTAAAATTTGTTGTTTAAATTTCATGGTATAAATTCCCTGGCAGATTAATTCTGGGTAATTTTGTCCCTTAAGTTACAGTAAAGAAACTTTAAAAAATATTCTGTAGAAACTTGTGTTTCTTTTTTTAATGTAGTGCCTATGACTGTGTGATACCACCCATGGAGAAGGCTGTGGTGAAAACAGACATTCAAATAGCGCTTCCTTCTGGATGCTATGGCCGAGTAGGTGAGTACACAGCTGTCAGAAGGCTGCAGAGTCATTTTAGAACAGCTTTGACACCATCTTCACATTTAGATTCTGCCTAAAGCTTTCAGAATTTGTCAACACAAAAAAGGGGATGCCACACGGCTGTGTGATTTACTGAATCTTGCAGTATTTTCCTGTTACCTGTTGTCAGATGCATTTGAGGTTTGGTGTATGTCAGGTGACCAAAGGATGATCTGTACTCTACATACAGCTTTATAGGCTCCACAGTAGTTCATTATTTGTATACAGTTTCAGAATTCAAATCACAAAATCTCATAGGTGACATACAGAAAATGCATCCCTGGTTGCTTAAAAATAAACCCCAGAGCATCAGTGTAGTAGAATTTGATTACATATTGTCATAGAATAGTTAAGAGAACCTGTACAATATATTCTGTTTATTTTGTGCATTCTTTATCTGAATTATGTATAAGTTCTTAAAGTAAAAAAGCAATAGCCACTCCAGGGGAAGAAAATTATCAGAATTTGCCATGTCCTTTTATGTAAAAGAACACATGCATTTCTCTTATCCTGAAGAAAATTTTAAAGATCATGTAATTTTTAGTTCCTCATCCTAGTGGGCTAAGGTAAGTAAAAACCCAAATCCCCACACATAATTTATATTTATAATACTGCTTTGGAAATGCCTTGCCAGGTATTGTTTTCCTTCATAACTTAAATAGATTGACCTAATATTCTTCTGAGATGATGCTGAACCAGTGATAGTCACCAAAAATAAACCAAGATTAGACAGTCTGATCCAGTTGCCTCCCCTGGAGAAAACTACTCTGCAATTGCAGGTCAAATAAAGATACGTTTCCATTACTTAAAAATTGCAATTTTATTGTAGCCTGTTGCAGCTGTTACTCTGTTTAATATATTTGTAAACTCTTACAGTAATTCCTGTAATATGTTTCTCTTAAAAAGACTGTGGAAACAATTGTCATTGCCAAGACTGTGCAAACACACTGTATAACCTTTAAATACTGTCTTTTTAAAGAAATAAATTGTAATAATTAAAAAAAATTCTTTTCTAGCACCACGTTCTGGTTTAGCTGCAAAGCATTTCATAGATGTTGGAGGTAAGCTTTTTGTTCTTTTTATTAAGACTAGGTAAGTAATGCTCACAGAATTACCTTAGTTTCACATTCTAACCACATAAATGATGGTTTTTCTTGGGGATTCTGGCAAAAGGAAATATCTGGGTGACACCTGAGAGAGACAGGTCATCATAATTATGTTAAAATGTTCTTAATTATAAAAAAGATTACTGATTTTTTAAAATAATAACTATATCATAATTCTGTAGACAGTGTCTGCCATAGAAGTTACTTTGTGGTTTAGGCATTACAGATGCTTCTTACATGCTGGTTTCTCTATTTTTTTATCCAGCAAGTTAACTTGAAGTTGCAGGTTTTTCTAAATTTTCAAAAATCGGGATACTTCCAGGGTTACTAGCACCTTAATTAGGAAGTTAAGAAATGCCATTGGATTAATCCAAAACATTATATAAGAATGCTGTGTAAATACCTTTTCCATACTGGATGTAGTGCATAGATTGCAGGGTAACTAGGGATCATTTGCACTACAATTTTTTTTTCAAAAGCTAAAGGAACTACTTTTAAAAATAGGTTTTTATTCTTAAGTGTGCATTTTGTGGTTCAACATTAAAACTTCAAGGTACACTCATAATACAGTTTCCTCTGGTGTTAGTAAGCTCTAATTACATTGTATAAGCTGGGGAATGTCTTGGAATGGCATTTAATTTTAGTATGTAAATTATTTCTGCAAGCAGACTTCAAAATACATATTTGGGACCACAGGGAGGCCCAAACTCATGTTTTCTACTGGAAATACATTTCCTCTATCTGAGAGAAAAACTCTAAAGAAGCAGAATATAATTGCTTTAATGTAGCCAATCTTCTGAAATATGTAGTTAATACAGTCATGCAAAATACAAGAGTAAGCTAGTTTTATAGTCTTGGTACTAGAATATAGCTATATGACAGTCATTTTCTTACAGCTCTGATTCTGTTACCTTGCCAGAGGGACAGGATTTGGATCTGTGCAAATCCATAGCTCTCAAATGAAATATTAGAGTTAAGAACAGATTTCTGCTTGACACTGAACAAGCTGAAGTTAGCAGAACAAATGGGACCTGAATTTAGTCCAGCTGACTTGATTTCAGAAAAGGTATTACTACTAAAATTAGTAGTACAGTGGTAAAGCACTTCTTGACATGTGATGGTGGTTTTCAGTTCCTTTTGCAAGACTGATAAGCATTTTTAGATGTCTCAGTATTTGCATATATATTGTTAGTTGTGCATCAGAAATATAAAGGATGTCATTATGAGATACTGTAATCATTTATTAATCTAAACCTTATCTAATCTAGTTATCTCATACACTGACATTTACTAACTGGGTATCTCTCCAAATTCTCTCTCGTGACAGCTGGTGTTATTGATGAGGATTACAGGGGAAATGTTGGTGTGGTACTGTTCAACTTTGGCAAGGAGACGTTTGAAGGTAGGTGTTAAGCCTGGCAGAGCCTATTTTCAGCCATCTGACTAGGAGCAAGAAACGAATTTTTTAAAGTTTATGCAGAGGTAGAATTAGCTGGGAACATTTTTATTCTCTCAGTTAACAAAAACACAGATATTTCAAAATGTCCTGTCAAGGGAACATGTAAAGATTCTACTCATAGCTAATTAAGCAGCATTCAAAAAAACTGCTCCCAAAACCACCACACCACCACAAAAGCAAACCAAAACATCCCTACCTAGCTAAGCTTTAGATTCACAAGCTGTACTGAAATGTAACTTTTATTAAGTTACTACTTTTCTCTGAAAAAAAAAAAATTAGCTGAGCAATTTGAGAAAAACTTTCTCCAGAATCCTGGGAAACATGAGTAACAAAGACAGGATTTTCTCTTTATTACACTGTCTTTCTGCAAAAAGTCGGTTTTAAGTTTCAGTGCCCAGTTGCAAGAGATGTGCTTTTGTGGCCTCTTCTGCATCTTCACATCATAAGCTGCTTATGGAAGTTCTGTGAGCCAGACTGGTTATTAGTGAAAAACTCGGTTTTCCATATATCAGTTTGCCTTTTTCCCCCCAAATTCCTGGGTCCAGTTCATACAAGGAGCTACATTATCCATACAGCTGTCTTTCCATCTCTGCAGTACTTACACATATGCAGAACTTAGGATGCCAGAGAATGGCAGCAGGAATGAATGGAAAGGCCTTGAACTGGTACAGCTGCTGACAATCACAGCAAAAGGACCAAACAAAAGTTTATCTTAACCTGTATTTTTCTGGGTCTGTTAACATCTGTTTAGATAGGTTTCTAATAAGTGTTTTCACTTTTAATATATTCTGATACTCTTTAAAGAAGATTGTTTAAAGTCTGTATTCATTGTTCACTTTTTTGAAGGAACTAATATTTTAACTTCTCTGCAGTTAAAAAAGGAGATAGAATTGCCCAGCTCATCTGTGAACGCATTTATTATCCTGAACTAGAAGAAGTTGAAGTAAGTTGCCAAAAGAAAATATTTCTGCATTTTCAGTGATTATTAGTTTAAGATACTTGTATATAAGAGGAAATTTATTATATAAATAAATATTGGCTAAAATTACTTTCAGTGGTAAAACTGCATAGCAGCAGTACTACCTGAATGAAATTCTGATTGATTCTTTGTACATACTTACCAAAAAAGAAAAAAAAAAAATTATGCAAGTTTTCAGAGTTTTTGAGGAGCAGTTCAGTAGATACTAGAAAAGGTTGTCTCACAAGCATTTGTTCAAGCTTGTGCAAAAGATATTCTAAAGAGTCTTGCATACAGTTTTTGTTTCTTAATTATAGCTGTTGTTACAAGTAATTGATAGATAATATCTCTTGTACAGAAACAAAAGGCAAATTAAGGCACTAAGCCAGCTTATCATAATTGATGTCTTTCAGGCTCTGGATGATACAGAACGCGGTGAAGGTGGCTTTGGCTCTACTGGAAAGAACTGAAAATTACTTGAATACGCTTTCTATTTTTGGTTTTTTGTTCTACGATTTCTAAATTTCCATTTGAATTAGAAGTAGAACTTTTGGAGTACATAAAAATATTTCAAATTTTATTGAGACTTCTCTGTATCTATGCTGCAGTGAATTTGTCTGCATAATGAGGAAATATGCATGACTGGCTTGACTTAGTAGTTGATGTATTATTTTATTTTCTCTTTCAAGATGTTTGGTCCTCAGCAATAAGAACACATTGTTTATGTTGCAATTATACTGTAATAAACGAAGAAATAACTTAATGACCTAAAATACAACAGCCAGTTGTTCCCTTGCCAGTTTTTTTAGACTTCTGAAAGCTATCTTCAACATGGTTCAGGATTTCATACTGAGAGCCTGTTTCATACAGCCTCAGTGACAGCATCGATAGGACTTTCCATTCTGACACCAAAATCAGAATAAGACAAAGATATTTAATATTGCACCCTCTACAACCTGTCCAAATACTTGTGTTTCTGTTCAAAGCTAAAGTTCTGAGTTTGATCCTTAGCTCATCTTCAAATGGCCAATTTTTCAGCTCTCTTATATTGAAAGAAAAAGCAATACAGTGTTTGAGTTAAATAGCACAACTCCTCTGAAAATAACTTCTATGTAGTAAATAAGAGCTATGAATTACACTTTTGGAATATTTGTTACAAATTTATCAATATGTTAATATCTGGAAGAAAAATTCTGAATTATTTAAGCAGTGCACAGTTTGTTTTTTTAAATTTACTTTTGTCCAGTTAAGATAATTTTTTTTTAATCTATCCTAAACCTGATCCAATAAGTGTGTGGAATTTCTTAGATGGCTCTCTAACTTTCAGGTGAAAGAACATGCAGAGAAGAGAAGAAACAAAAAAAGGATAGAAAAGTGACTATTTTTCCACTTTACATAAAAGAATTAGAAAAGGCTCTGAAGCTCTCAAACACTTTCTTCCTGCAGCTGTCTGTACTTTAAGATTTTCTTATCTGGAAGATTACAGGTAGGAAATATTGTGCATTAAGCTAGCAGTAGAAAGGTGTTCCCTTTATAGGCTGATGTTCATACTGCTCTTTTGCTGGGTAATTTCAGCTCAGGATAATCCTGTTAGTATTAATTTCATGTTCTTGTCTAGGACTATTTTTTGTGAAGTATGCCCAAAATACTACACATTTTATACATTTTATCCTGCCCACTCCTGCAAGGAGCTGCAAAATAAGGAGCAGTAAAACAGCATTTAGATCCCTTCAGCCATGAGACAGGCATTATACTGGCTTGGCAGTGCTGAAGCAACAGTTGGATTTATCTTTGTCCAGCCTTTTCCTCTAAGTGCATGATATGCTGGTCAGTTGGTTTGCTGTTGGTCCTTACCCCTCATCATAGTGCTCTACTTGGATCTGTACACCCAGACAGACCAACGGGAGCAGGCACACCCTGCAAAAGGCCACTGCAAGCAAGGAGCACCAATCATACCAATGCAGTCTAAATGAACTGGGAAAGCTGAGCTTGACACTAATTTTATTCAGTTTTGCTACCTGCCAAAAAGGAATTTAGAGGATATTTAAAGATCTTAAAATCTGTGATCCTTTTGTGAAAGCTGTTTCCTCTTCCTGGACTGTAAGTCAAGAGAAAGTTTTGCTGCAATTTTTAGTTTCCACCTCCCAAAGCAAAGACCCAGCAGGGGTTCCACTAATGCAAGTCCGTTTTAAAAAAGATGCTGCAAGAGACTTCACTTGGAAGAGCAACCTACAAGGAAGAAGTTGGAGTTCAGGTGATACTCATTACATATTGTACCTGATGCAAACTGATCTGATTTATTTTTGGAAAATAATGCTAATACTACAGATTTTGAGATAAGCATTTGCTAAAAAAAGCATGTTCTCAGGAGCTATCTCAGACATATAAGGAAGAAACAAATTTACATATGCATACCTTAGGTAACTTGTCAACATTAAAATCATTATCTGTCATTACCAGAAAAGGCTCACTTGTTTTGAAAATCTGTGTGGTGGAGTTCCTCTACGTTGTTTCTCAGTACTTCTCTAGAGAAGCACATCATGAATTTTAGATTGCTGCAAGGCCCTTCCCAGTAAGGACCTTGGGAATGTTTATCTGAAATGAGAAATGTTTTTAAACTTAGCTCTACACTCAGCTCCTCTGTGTGCACCAAGCCATTGCATGGGTAAGGAATTCTGGTAATTCCTGTTAGAGTATTAGGGTTTGCTTTTTAATAGAAGTAGCAAGTCTATGAAAGACAAATATTTCTACCCAGGCAACAAGAGTTACCAATATACTGAAAGTTCTAAAGTTGATACTGCTACTGCAGATCAAGGCCTGCATTTGAAACTTGTAGAAACTGTACTGGGACTGAGTAGAGGCTTCTTAAAACAGCATTTGCTACTCTATGGTTCAAACCAGGATATAAATTTTTTATTTATAGTCCCATAATTTCGTTAATATGAAAAACAATACCCTCCCAATTAATTTCATGTTCCCTTTTTCCTATAATATCTACATTACAAAAGTACATTATCTTGGTATGTGACAAGAGCGAGGGGACTGCGAAACAATCTCTTTTTCATTACTTTATCTGAGACCTATCCTACCTCTATTACCTAGTTGTAAATTAGTTTTGTAATTCAGTAACAAACTGCCTGAGTGTGTCATTGAGTGCACATGCTTCAGCTCGGGCAATAACTTCAGAAGTTGCCCAACAGTGTGCACAGGGCTCACTTCTGTGTAGACAGATTGATGTCTCCAGAGCCTGCCACTGGGGTGTGATGCCCAGGGCTCACTGCTGGTATGAAACTCAAGAGATGTAAAGCTATTTCCAAAGTAACAAAATGAGTAAAAATTACATCGGGCTGTTCGCCAGGCAAAGCTACTCTAATTCAACTACTCACATTGGTGAGAGGAGTTACCTAAAGCTTGAAGAATGATCTTGTGGAACATCCTTTGTGTAAATGAAACATGAAGCCTTTATGAATTAAAATTAATTTGTTGGAAATTCTTATTTACAGCAGAGAAGAACATTTTTCTGCAGGGAAAGGAGAAAGACATTACTGACTAACAATTTACTTCCTTTTTTTTAGAAATGGATTTGACTTTTTACAGGGATAGAGAAAATCTGGCCTTTCACTCCAGGTGAATTTGGAAGAAAGTTGAGATGCTTAGCCACAGGTACACCTCCATGGTTTGAGTTTTGTTATGAGATCTGAGAAGGTTCTATTTTTTATTTCAATGCAATATTTACGATAACCTCTATGTCCTTAGAAAGGTAGAGGATCATAAGCTGATGGGAATATTGAAGGAACATGGGATTCCTATACAGTTCCTACCACTTGAACTCTCCACTTTTGGACAAAAATCTTAAAACAAAATTTATGGCAGTAATACCACTGCTACCATTGATCTTCAGTTCTTTCTTTCCCCCAGGGTGTTAACTTCGTGTTTAGTAGTTGAGAATTTAGGCACCGCTTCCTCAGGTCAGCTACTGTTACATTACTTATGGCATGGTAGGAATTTTTAAATCTATTTAATGTTTTCTAGATCAGCCACTAGATGGCACTTAAAGTTTGCTTTCTTTTCCACTTCTTTTTCAGAGGTATTTTTCAAAGATTTGTTCATCTATAATTAAGAGTTGATGACTCCCACTGGGACTGTGTTGGTGGAAAGAAAGATGCAGCAATATTTGAGTGAAAGCAGGCAAAAGTATAACCATTAAAGGGGGAACAATGACAATAATTTAAATAAGATTTGGGTGGTTGCAGTGTTTGCATAATCCCTCCTGGCATGCAAGAGCTGTAGAGAAGCCTGTGGCTTTTCTCTCCTGCTGTGTTTCAACAAAAATGGAAAATTGTAATGAACAGCAACATTTTTCCTATATTTCGTATTCACTGTGTTCTTACTCTCTCTTCCTCCATTCCTTTAAGTGGAATGCAGACTACTTAAGGATTGCATTGTAACGAAAGTAATGTATAACCTGGTAAACTTGGTTTGGATTTAGATTTTCCAAATGAGATGCCTCTGGCTGCAAGTTCAGGATATAAATTAAAACTTACTTAATACATGTTAACTCACTAAGGCTGGGTGATATATAGTAACCTGAATTATGTAAATTAAGGATCCCTAGTTTCTGTATTCCTGTATTGATTGCTGCTTCTGTAATAATACAGTTTGGAGCTCTTGTATTTGTCTTCCTCCTAGCCTTCTAATTTTGTTTGTTTGTTTGTTTTTTGGGTTTTTTTTTGTTTTTGTTTTTTGTTTTTGTTAAATAACTATCATTATATTTTGGCTTAAAGATAGTTAAGTAAGTTTTGGTATAAAGTAAACTTCTATGACCCTGCCTATTTCCTGTCCTGTCAAACCTTTCCTTGTAAGAATAACAGTGTCCTTTTATTTGGTGGAGTGTAGCATGATGTTTTTGGCAGGCCCAACATTTTTGACTTGCATAAATTTGTGACCTCAAGTGCAAGAAAAGTGAATGCTTGCTTCAGTACCTCAAGGTTTTTGCCTAAAAAGAAAAGTGTCCACATAGCTAACCATTACAATTTCTGAAGGAAAATTATCAGCACACTTATTCCACCTGATTGCACATGACTGCACTTCCAAAGAAAAGAACCAGAAATAAAAATAAGTATTTTGCACTTAGTTATGTAAGTTACTGAAAGCCTGAAAATATAGGGCAGACTGTACTGCCTTACTGGTTTCTAGAATTGGCACACATGGCATTTCCCTCACTAACAGATATTTGGCTGTCTCTGCCTCAGTAAGGATGTGATTCTGCAAAGTGTAAATTCAGGTCTGCTGCTGGGCAAAGAATGTCATTGCATGGTTAAAGGTTGCAGGATCAAGTCTGAAGTGAATTTATGTAATTAGTTTCCTAAACTTTCCCTCCATTAACTGTGTGGTTATTTAGCTCTTTACCCCTGAAGTGATGCTTTTTCCCTACTCAGAAGACAGCAAGAAAGCCTTTTACCCTGCCAAGTCTGAAAACCTGACAGATTAATTTTATAATTCAAGAGCTCTCATCCAAAAAGTAACTACTGTATTTTAACATGTAAAGTATGTTTAAACAAACACATGTGAGCTGTGTATGCCTACTTACTTGTTTCCCCTTAGATTTTGATGGGGTTTTTTTCATTGTCACAAAAATTTTATATTAACCTTCTGCTTTTTAGAGAACATTTGTATAGTATAATTCATAACAAGAGTTTTGTGTTAATCAATACTGCTCATAGCCTTGAACTGAAGAAAGTTACCTTTTGTCTACTATTGATTGTAGCAAAAGAATTA